CAGGGTGTTCAGCTTCCGATGCAGTGGAACTGCGTAAACCAGCGCCCTTCCCCACCCAGTGAGCGCGAGTCCTTGTGGTCTGCCGAACGCTTGCTTTCATTCTGAGAACAGTTATGAGGCTGATACATTGTTTTCCTCCAGTGGCACCAAATCCTAATGCTGTAAACCTAATGAAATGTGCTGGAACTGAACTTGGTGAGGAGCACCTACCCACATCGAATGTGACAGGGGAATCCGTTAAAGCCACCGCTGCCCTGTGTCTGGGGTTGATGCCATGCCACAGCTGACCTAGGGCGAGAGTCTGTGATCATGGAGGCCATGCTGTCAGGTCTGCCCGTCTTCAGCAGGTCACCTGCCCACCTTCCTGGTTGGCCGGCCACTGGCTGAAGGTGCCTGTGATAAAGCAGAATCACTCATGTTCTTAAAAAAAAAATGCATTTCTCAAGTAAAATGCAAAATACTATGTGTTGTGATTGAGACATTTACAAGATAGAGACAATGTGTTTCTGTGCACAGAAACCTCGTTGTCTGTGCTCTCGACTCATCTGATTAGAGAAGTATTACTTAGGGAGCTCTAGCAGAGCTGTCGGCCACGTCCACACTCGGTGCCGTGAGCCGTGTCAGATGTGTCGCGATGCTGATGGCTCACGCTCTCTTGAACTTATGAAACAGAAGAAAGCAAATCCATACAAAACATTTGCTTTAAGGTGACAGAAGAGAATCTGTATGTCCTTAAAAAGAGGGACGGGGTCTAAGGTAAACTTGCAGATTGAGCGCTTCCTGTCAAGCCAGCAAAACCTGCATGTTTTTGAAAGCACTTAATTTCACTAATCATGACCTGGCAATGCATTCACTTATAATTATCATAAATAGTGATTTAAAACATTTCTGTAAACAGAATGTTTTCTTTTGCTACGTTTTCCAGGTGGACAAACGTTTCAAAACATTCATTTAAAATTGTGTCATTCTCTAAGCGGAGCCTTCACGGACTTCATTCTGAAAACCATGGCTTGTGTCACTTGCTTTAGTCATTCGTAGAATAAATACAGTTTTCTCACGTTTCTAGTAGGGGAGGAATGACAGGGTCCGAGGGACACAGTGTGGGGGCACATGGGACGGTAGCCTGGTTTGGGCGAGCCCGAGCTGACTGGCTCGTCCTCAAAATGCAAATAATAATAACGACACCCATGTTCCTGTCTCAGTGTTGCTGGAGGGTCAACTTTGTGTAAAATTATAAGTGCATTTATGTCTCGTGTGTGAAGAGGACCTTTTGGGGGAAAACGCTAAGCCAATGCCAGTCTGCGGAAGCAGGCGTCCGTCTTAGTGGCCTGTGACCTCAGGCCCGGGGGCCTGGTGGGCACACAGAACCTGGTGAGTTCCGGTCTGCGGTAATTTTGTTAGGGAAGGTGCAGTGTCTGCTTTGAACGAGTCACCATGGCACTCAGGCTGCTTTCTGTCGCCTTCTGAGTATAATTCAACACGGTCTTTGTCCGTGGAGAGGCGAGGCCAGGCCATTGCAGCCTCGGAATGGCGGGGCCAGCGGGCGGGTGGCGACCAGGCACAGGGACACCTCCTCAGCCCGTGGCTCATCACCCGTCTTTCTCCCGTGAGCTCCCACTCGTGTTGTCACTCAGCTCCTAGCTGAGCTTCACGTGGTCGACCATCCCACACACACAGCAGAAAGCTCCCAAGCACCAAACAGGAAGAAACCCAAACGCTGGAGCTGCTGCGGAGGAAGCCAGTGGGTTCTGCCACTTGGTTCTCAGTACAATTGAAGGAGTTTCCATCAAACAGGTTTTGCTGATGGAGATATTTGGTGAATAACCAAAAGACTGACTGCCAAGAACCAAGAAATACCACTGTAACAAAACTACTTCCTTTACCCTTTGCTTATTTATGTTTTCTTGTCAGAAATAAAAGATTTATGCTAAAATAACTATAAAAAGTAAAAAAGCAAGAAATTTGATACTAAACCTTGTCCCTTTCAAACAATCAGGCATGACAATAAAAACATCCGTATCTATATCATTAATGTATCACTAACGTATGTCATAGCATGTTGCCAATGAAACGCTACTTTTGTGTATAGATTATAAAAATTAATTTATTGTAACTCTAATCAGTTATATTAATAAGATGAAAAAAATTGCCAGCTATGAATGTGATAGGAACATTCACAAAGGACTTTCAAGCATAAAGACATTAGATCAAGTCTCTTCAGATTGCAGAACAGAAGCAACAGATCAAGGAGAATAAAGGGTAAAATAGATTTTGGGGGTAGTCATGTATCTATAAAAAAATGAATATTTGGAAGCATCAGATCCCTGTGGTGTTATTCTCTTGGATCTGAGTAAAGGTGATTTTCTTATTTACGGTATAAATATTGACTATCCTTTATATGTTACATACAGTTGATTATTTAAACTTAGAGGAGAACTTTCAGATTTCTAATGAAGAATTGCAAGGAGATAAATACTGTTCACAATTCCTTTGGGCGTGTGAGTGAAGTTTATGACCGCAGGGTGGTGGGTGCGCCTGGGTGAGCCTGTGGGGAGGAGGCAGGTGTCAGTGGGGAGCAGGCAGGACCTGGTTCCCTGCCGGGTGAGGGCGAGCAGGGAAAGCAGGTTCCCGGCTCCTGACGCAGGCGAGCAGGACGGCTCACCAACATGGGAGTCAGGGACCCAGCAGACGCTGGGGCGGGCAGAGCGTTCTGGTTCTGTTCTGGCCCGTGTCCTCCACCAGGCTCGCCGTCCTGATGCAGGAAGCTGTGGCTGGTTTTCCACTGGGACGAGGCAGCACCGGGCCATCCGTGTGGCAGCTGCATCGGCAGCAACACATCAGGGCCGAGCATTTCATGGAACTGCTCGCACTGTCTTTTGTTTTGTTTCTGCTGGCTTGGGGTGTGTGTGTGTGTTTACAAATGCTGACATACATGTAGGTAAAGCCTTCTAAGAGTGGCCCTTTCTCACCACTGCTTGGAGGAAACCATCTTTTCACATCGCCTTGGTTTCCATTCCTTGAGATTTCACACCCAAAGGTCAGCCATTGTTCACACTCGGATGTTGCACACGCTCTCCCTCAGAGCGCCTTTGAAAATAGTAAATACAGTCACGTCCCCAGCACTTGCCGGGTACCTTCATCCTCTCCCTCTTCCATTAGTAACAGAACCAAGATGGACTTTAAAGATTTATTTCAGTTCTCAGTTTCCTGTTAACTCTCAGTTTCCACCCATATGCTTTCATTGCCTCAGTTTCTTTGTTTTGTTTTGCTTTTCTTGCTGCCACCACATTTCCATTGCACGTCACTATTTAAAGCCTAAACTCACGAGCGTGCACACACAATCACACACACACTCACCACATTTGCAAATGTATGTCATCATCACCTGCTTTAAGTCAGACACTATTTATATGCAAGGAAAGCTGTGGAAAGACAAGAGGGTTTCCAATGAAAAAGGTGAAGGCCTTGGAGGGAGAAAGAGATGTAAGCAAACAACCAAGCCAGAATCAGATCCTGCAGAGCGAACCGAACACCATTTTCATGAAGAAAAGGGTGACCAGGAAGCACCACGGAGTCCCCAGGGTGGTGGCGGAAGTGCCAGGAACACTTCTGACCACGTGTAGCCGAAACTCAGCCCTTCCTGACAGACACAGAGATTTTAGAAGACAATTCAGGCAATTAACAACATCATGTTAATTCTAGAAAAACACTTGGTGAAATGAAATGAATTCTACTTGAAATACGCACTGGGATTGAGACTGAGTTAGAGGCATTGGAGGCTTTTCAGAAATGGCAGTTGTGCCTGAAATTCTACAGGTATTCAGGTTAGAGAAAAGTTTTATTTACATCATTAGATAAAACAATTGACTATCCATCTAAATTTAGGTAACTGCTTTATCTAAAAAAATAAATAAATATCCTACTAGGAAAAGATTTTGGATTTCTTTTAAATGTGCGATTCCTTTTCACATTATTATAATAATACCAAAAGACCTATTTTTTTCAGTTTATTTGCACATAAATTCCTGAGAAGATTAAATGAAATTGTTGTAACATTTTGGATATGTCTGACTCAATTTTAATGAATTTGTACAGAATTTAGAAGTAAAATGTATTTATATCATTCTGAAAAAAGCTGTGGTTTGTCTAGCTAATTGTTTCAGGCTCAATAAATTAACCAGGTCAGTTTTGTGGGTAGTTGACTGTGATGATGTTAACTCACGTAGTTTCTTATTTAAGAGAAGCAGACTTCTAGTTCCTAAGTAAAATTTATTTTAAATATTATTGCGCTTTTTAGAAAATACATATACTCACATACATTAAATTTTGCATATATTGTATTTTCAGCTATTTGCAAATCTTTGCAGTCCACTCTAGTAATACCGTTGTAGTACTCTACTGTCAGTCCTATTATTACTGTTACTGCAGCTGTTACTAGGGCTCTTAACTAAGTACCCTCGGCACTTCTAGGCCTTCTCGTCAGAGCATCAATACACTTGCTCCTGACTCACTCTCCACTTTCTGCAGGGCTGACAGCGTGCATGTGACCTGTGTGTGCTCGTGAGTCCATAACACAGTCTGCCACACAGGTGTGTTTCCCGGGAGGAAGGGAACAGGGCATCTCATTTTCTGAGAATTAGTGCCCACTCTGTTCTCTGATTACACGACCTCGACTCCCAGTTTCTTGGAGGACGTTGAGACAAATTACATGAAAGGTATTTTATGCACATGCTTGTTGCCCAACGAGGCTTTCCTCGCCGAATGAACTGTGTGGCCTTGTTAAGTGATATATCCTTCACTTGGCAGAGAGGCCACAGAATGCGTTTTACACGCAGGACCATTTGTGTGACTACATGGGCAGTAGGGAAACGCTGAAACCCTGGCTTGTGGCCCGGACTGTGCGTAGCGAGTCAGTTTTGTACAGAAGGCCTTCACCGTTAAAAGCCAGCACGGTCTGATCCCCCTGAGGAAACATGATGCTAAGTCTGTTTCTTTTCCAGCGGTAGCGTGCCCGGGCATCGAAGCCCAGCTCTCAGAGCACGTCACCTGGAGGCTGGTTTCAGGATCACTGAACGAGTACGGAGCCCAGGTGGTGCTGAGCTGCAGTCCTGGCTACTACCTGGAGGGCAGCAGGCTCGTGCAGTGCCAGGCGAATGGGACGTGGAGCACGGGAGAGGGGAGGCCCAGGTGCAGAGGTGAGTGCCGGCTGTGCCCCAGCCCACGTGGCTGCGCCAAGCGGACCGATGGTGCCCACCTTGTACGCACTGGACCCCACCGGTCCTCAGGTGAACAGTGGAGCCGAGTGGCATTTCCTTTTGTTCTAATGATGATGAATGTGTGTTTTCATGTGACGTACTTAGAATATGTGACTGCTGGGTTCAATGCCAAACACCATCTTTTCCTTGTTAGTGATCATATTCTATAAACTTTAGATGTTAGAACACTCAAATATTTCAAATCAGCTCAAAAACAAATCCAGGCCTGCATTTGAAAAGATGGCACTTACTCCACATCCTGACTGTTCAAGCCTTCTAACTAGGGTCTTGGGAAATCGTATTTCTGCCGAAGATATTCTTCTCAAATAATGGCCATCTTGAAAAGGGAGATTATTATTCTCCTAGGTACAAGATAAGCAGTTAAGCCTTTGAGTAGGTTTCATAATAAATATGAATAAATAGAAAAATAAAACATTATTAGTATTGTTCAGAGCACAATTTGATTCAGACATGTTTAATACACAATCCTGAGTTGATTGTTCACAGGAAATTATCATGCACAGAAACAAGTCGTTAGACCAGTGTCAAGTTTCTAAAACACACAGCTTAGCAAGAATAAACCAGAATAAAAATGGAAAAGGGACAAAAGAATTAATGCCTCACTGTGTTTCGTAACCTTTAAAATTCAGCTCTTAATGGAACACATGCTAATCAAACATGTTGTGAGTTTCCTCACAGGGACGGGGGTAGTTAGGAGGGGCGCTGACACTCAGGAGTTCTCAGCCCTCGGAGTAAGGGGAACGGCCCCCATGTCCCCAGCGGCTCTGCCTGAGCCTGGTTTCCAGGCTAGCTATTCATGGCCCCGGTCGCTCTCAGAAGTGCCCTGGTTTGACGTCAGCTCGCTGCATTCACGCTGACTGTCCTCTGTTGTCAGCCTGGACTAATGAGTCCCTCCTTCCCACGTCCCTGCGGGCCACCCCCACGTGTACCCACCGTGTCACGCTCAGTTTGTGGGTTTGGAGACTCAGTTGTCAGAGTCCCAAGGAGAAAGCGTTCGGGGCACTTCCCTTTGGTCCACCTGGGACTCGTCAGCCGGCATCCTTTCTGCCAGTTTCAGACCAGAATCAGGATCCTTAGAACAGGCATGACACGCTCTCGGGGGCAGGCGTCCCCTCAGGGCTTCTGTGGATGCAGCGCTCCCAGGGTGGCACTTCCTCGGCTCTGACTGCCCGGAGGGGGTGGGGGGCACAGCTGCGACCCTTGCCTGCCCAGGGGAGGACCGTGCTGCGTGGGGCTGTGCGTCACCACAGTCTTTCCCACTAAAGGCACAAATCGCCATTCCAGAAGAATTGACCTTTACAGGGAGATCTTTCCATTTAAAAGGTGTAAGCTGGGGCATCCGGTTACCCTGTGGCCGATCTTCAACTACTTAGCATTGAGAGTTCAGATTTTTTAATGTTTAGAAAGGCTCCACGTGCCCTGTCTAGTCAGCATTGTTAGGGAACTTACGATCCCCCAAAATTATGCACGTACATGAAAGTGAAAAGGCACTCACTGGTGTTATTGCAGTGGGACGTCCTAGGTTTGAATTCCACACTCCTCTGTACCAGCTGTTGACTTCGGGAAAGACCATTCACGCCTGTTCATTCCTGCTGGGCACGCAGAGGTGACCAGTAACTGTTACACGGTTCCTGTGACTGATGTGGACAGAGCATTGGACAGGGTGCCAGCTCATTGGGTAGATTGGCTTCTGTGTAAACATGCTTATGTGCTGGGCAGTTTTTCAAGAAAGGTTTAGCCACCTGTGAGGATGAAAGCAGTAGCAGTGTATAATTGGAGGGACCTAAAAGATTTGGGACTCCACTGAAACGTTCAAGTTTTCATTTCCAGGATGTAAGAGAAGGAAAACGCAGCTTCCCGCACGGCCTGCCCCCTGCCCTGGATGAACTCGAGGCTGAGGGTTTTCTCGCTTCACCTTGTTCCCGCTTTTCTCCTAGTTATCTCGTGTGGAAGCCTGGCCTTTCCCCCCAATGGCAACAAGATCGGGACGTTGACGGCATATGGCGCCACAGCCATATTCACCTGTAACACGGGCTACACGCTCGTGGGCTCGCACGTCCGAGAGTGCCTGGCAAACGGGCTCTGGAGCGGAGCCGAGACGCGGTGTCTGGGTAAGTCCTTCCCATGAGGCGCCCATTTGATTCAGTCAGTGCGGTTGGGCAAAGCCTCAGACTTCTTGCTCCAAATGCTCCGACGGCCTGTAACTCACCCCACCGGGGGCTGGCGCTGCACTTTGTCACACGACTTCCTTAAATACCTAAAGGGATTTGTTTTTCATCTGAACAATAAATGCAGGGCACATAGTGCCTAAGTGGCAAAAAGGCTTTGTTGGAGGGCTGAGGATATGACTTTACTTATGATTTTAGGACACACAAAAATGAATTTAAAAATACTATACATGTTATCTTTTAAAAATTATGCATTACATCAACAAGTTAAAAGGACATTAATATCAAGCAATGTAAGTATGATGACTATTTAAAAAGGCATGCGTGTGCAGCGACTTGGTCTTCATTTCCCCAAAGATTAAAATTGTTTGCATGATAGTTTTTAAAAACTGAGTTGAATTTTTTTCCATTGAAAAACCTTCCGAATAAATGTATGGAAATTGTCAAATAAGCAGGTAAAAGTACACTGATTTCTGACACTCCTGTCGGGTCTCCAAGTAGTTTGTAAAATCATCAACTGCCTGTAGCCCTTCCAAACCCTCTGTGACCTCAGCATGTGATCAGCGGAAGCCCCAGCAACTGGACAGTCTGTGCTCCGGCTCCCTGTGGCCTAGGGCCGCGCCGGGAGCTAAGCCAGGTCCGCGGCATCTGAACAGTAAAAATGTGCTGTGTGCACTCAAGGGAATTTGAAGGAAGAGGGTGAAAGTAAATAGTGACCCCAGAGAAAGACAGAGGCTCTTCCCCTCCCCCATGCAGTGACACCCACTGCTTTCACGTTACTGCAGATGGCCGAGGGCCCCCGGACACAGTGTGCTGGACACAAACGTGGAGAGTCCATGAAGTGTGACCATCCTGGCGTGTGTCATGCTGCGGAGGGTGGTCACCGCGCTCTGACTGTTCCGTGCTTTCCAGGGGTTCTTAGGAAGCGGGCCTTGGGCGCCCGCCTTGGGCAGCTGTGCTTCGGGCGGTTCCTGGCTGCTGACCTCGGTGACACTTGTCCTTGTGGAAGGGAGGGAGCCAGGTGGTCTGCTACTCATTGCAATGATGAGAAGAAATGCAAATTAAATTTGGTCAGGGCCTTCCTGTTTCCAAAACATCTTATCTCACGGGTCCTTGTGATGACTGTGGGATGCAGGTAGCCTTAGGGACTGGGAGGGGCACATTTAGTTCCTATACCTGATAAGACAGGGGTTCCGCCTGAGTCTTACTGATCCCAAATACACTTTTACCTTTCTGTGGTGCCTGACTGCAGGTTAGGACTTTGAATTAGAAAGAATCAGAGCATATTGAATAGTTGCCTGGGCAGAGACGCCTGAACGCCTGTCCTCAGTGGGCTGTGGTGTCTGAGAAGCTGTGGAAGGAGTATTGAGAAGGAATTGAAACTGATAATAAAGAGGAAGAATAATGTCCAGATTACAGTGTATAATCATTGGTGTTGTGGAACTTGGATGCAGCATATCAGGAATAATAAAATTGTTTTCAAAAGAAAAAACAACAATTAGAAAAGAATTACAAATAACACGTAGCCATGAGTTTATAAACCAATGAGTAAAGATTGGGTAATAAATGTAGTATTAGTATTTAAAAATACTTAAGAAGTTGTTAAGTGCAGTTTCCCAGCTGCCGCTGAGACTTGAAGGGCGAAGGCTCATAGTCCATGAAGTCCAGAAGGGCATCTCTTCTGAATAACAGGCTGCGGATGGCTGGACGCCACAGCAGGAGTCCTTGTCCACTGGACCCAACACAGGGAATCTGGGTGGGAGGGTCAGCAGGCAGGCAGAGGGGGCGAGGTCCGTGCCGGAGAAGATTCTAACATGCTCAGAAGATAAGGGGGCAGGAGGCCCCAGTCCAGAGCCCGGGCAGCCGTTTGATGGAGCAGGTCAGGGTCACCTCCAGAATCCAAGAGCTAGCTGCGTGCCTCATTTAGACACAGTGATTTTGAACAATGTTATTTATTGATGACTAAAAATGTACAAGACGTTTTTGAATTTTATCTTATTGAATCTTCATTAGAACATAGAAGGGCTCATTGCTTCTATTTGTAGATAAGAAAAACCTTGGAGCAATGAATAATTGACCCAACGTTGCGAAGCCAACAAATATCAAAACCAGCATTTCAACTTCGACAGTTTGTGTACAGGACACAGACATTGTGGCTTTGGGGACAGAACCAGTTGATCTGAGCCAATTCTGCACTGCCTCTCCGGTAACTGTCTCTCAGAAGGAAGTGGGACGCAGATCGCTGAGCACTGTGGCTTGCGGCTTAACTATTGTAGAAGGGAACCAGACCCCAGGACTAGAGTCCGCCGCACCGCGAGGCGTGTGCCTCAGAGGGCTCTGTGCCCCGTGGTTGTGCGTGGCTAACTGCATCTTTAATCCCCCGCTGCCAGGCCTCTTACTTACCAATCTCGCTATTGTTTCCCTTGGTTTCTTGTCTTTTGAATTGCACCTTTATCTGTTTCCATGGTTATGGATCTCTGGAAAATCACCCTGGGTTTCCGTCAAGCTAGATGGCCTTGGGTGACCTTTAGACCCATCTGGACCCTATGAGGGTAAACCAGACAGTCATGGAGGGAAAATGACTTATAATACAATGAAGGCAGTCTGTGAGGATATTTTCAAAAAGTCCAGAAAGCAGTGGAGATGACCCCATGGCTTCAACTCTGAAAGACACGGCCCCTCAGCAAAACCACACAGCCCCGAAACTCTGACTTTGGGAAACAAATCCTCAGTGAGGAGGGAATGGGGACTCACCGGAGGAAACAGAGACAGTTACACCAGATGGTCTGCAATAAACTCAATCTGCAAGCAAAGCACCTACCCTGGCGCGTATTGAAGAGAACGAAGCGCCATTGAAGGCCAGCACCATGAAGGGCAGAGCCACCGAGCTGGGGACAATGAAGAACAAGCAGTGAACACCACGGAGAGGTGAGGACCAGGTGTAGGTCGTGTTGGAAATAAGAAGCAATTTCACTCACTGGAGTTGGTATTAAAATAACAGGGACAGAAGTAACGCAGATTTCCTCCTCATTTTGTCTTTTCTGTTGAGAATTGTAATGTAATGATACTCTCATATTAGAAGCTAGAACCCCAAAAAAGAGGAGTCTCTCAAGTGGAGGTGAGTCTCCTGCCCCAGAGGATTCCATCCAAGCTTGCTGGGGGACTCGAAAGAGCCTGCTTTCACTGGCAGTGTTCCTGGGGACATTATTAAAAGGAAGTGCCCTAGAGGTAGACGCATGTCTGGTGTGGTTTCTCACACAGAACGGAAGGAAGTTAGCTCTCAGAAACTGTGGAGTTGTTCATTTCATGATCCACAGAGCCGATCATCAAACATGTTATTTGTAAGATCTTGGCGATGCATCGTTATGAAGAGCTAATATAGTTGCAGAGGATACCGTGCAAGTCTGGACCCGTCTTTGTTTGTTTGACACTATACCTAGGTAAGTGTTTAGAACTAGTCTTCAGAAATGTGTTTCTGAATGTTCAGCGAGATGTATGTCAAGATTTTCCGATAACTCTTATAATCAGGAGTGCAGAATACGGGCTGGATGTTAAGTCCTTGGAATTGCTTGAGGGACTGACACAAATGGCATTGACTGTCGGGTTGGTGTGATTTGGAAAGGAGGGTCCCAGCTGCATGGTTCTCTCCCCTGAGTCTAGACCTTTCCAAAATTTGTCTCTATCTTGAAGGAGGGCTAATATTTTGATGACAGATTCAGGAACTCTTCAATTTGAATGATAGACCAAATGTGTGAGAACAAAATGGAATTAATGTTTCCCTCGAAAAATAAATGAAAAATAAAATAAGTTCAAATGTGCATGATGAGGAGATTATGAAGCCATAGCACACAGAAGGACTGGGTGGTTCGGGTACGGCCTTGTCCAGGCTAGCTGAGTGGGACCCGTCCCATCTCCTGCCCTGGACGTCCACACCCGAAGGACCACGTCGGTCCTGGGAAGTTGTTTCCGTGGGCTGTGGTGAGGGTCCTGGTAACCACGATAGATGAGGAATGTTTCGAAAACTTGTGATCCCCAGTTTGGCTGAGAGAAAAGTTAGGAAGCAACTTTTCAGACGTTTAGAATGCTATTAGGTAAAAGATGGAATAAGCCAGCTGTGGTAAATTGTTTTCCATCTAAGTGCCGGCCCCAACTAACGGGTCGTGCCAACCATGAAGACCTGTGCTAAGGCCCATTCATCTTAATCAGAGGCTCAGTTGGTGAGAAAAAGAAGAAGTAAAAATAAAATTAACTATATCTGCCAAGGGCAAGGACCAGAGTTGCCAGCGACATCCATGTGCACATTTCCTTTCGTTGGTGTGTACTAGCCAGCACCATGCACAGAGAAGCTTCCAGACTTACTATAAGAGCTATCTCCGTACTTGTTTGCTTAACATGTTAGCTCCCCAAATGCCACGCAGACTTCCTGCCGGAGGCAGTTGCCCGCTGGCGGGGTTCCCGTAGTTCTGTTGGCCTCTGAGCTTCGTGATTCCACTTCCGACATTCTTCCCATCATGATGCAAACCCTCTGACAAAAGCCTGTCTGCAAGCTCTGGCTGAGGGTTCTTGTGTGTTTTAGGGCAACTAGAAACAATGTTTGGCGTGAGATGCTGCTTCCCTGTCATGTGGAACATGGGCCATGTTTCTAGTTGTAGTGCTGTGGTTATTTCCAGTGGTTTCCAACTGGGAAGAAAATGCTAGATTCCTAGGTCATGAGGCAGGAAGGGCTCATGCACGAGGGGACAGCCTTGTCACCGTGTGCGTCTTGTGACTGCTAACTGTAGCAGAGCTGTGTGCTAGGAGATGCAGAGTGGTGTTCTGTGCCGAACATTCCAGAACGGAAGCTGTGCTGTGTTTGGAGGACCCCATCTGAATTCCAAGGCCGAACCCACAAGACAGGGTGGAGAAAGGAAAGCCTACAACCCCGTGTGCAAACGCCACTGTAG